GAGTCAGAATGACTGGATGGCACCTAACAACAACAACAGCAACTCTCCTGCTTGGGTGAAAGATGAGTCGGCCTGCTTCTGTAAAGATTAATTCTCAGAAAACCTATGTAGTGATCACTATGAGTTGGAATCTATTTGATGTCAGGGAGTTCAGTTTTGGTTACCCACTTGCAGCCATGAGACTTATGGGAACTTAAATAAACATATAAAGGCTGAATGATTATACTTTTCTAGCAGGATAAGTCAAATTTACATTGTTATAGATCCATTTCTGGCAGGGTTTTACAGTTGAATCAGGCTTTTTCTGGTTAATATTTAGTTTCATGGATCAGATAAACCTAATAATCAAAGTATACAAGCCAACCTGTTGTCATCAAGTCAGTTTTGAGCCATAGCAACTCTATGTAGTGTTTCTGAGGCTGTACATTTTTATGGAAGCAGACAATCTCAACTTTCTCCAGTGTAGTGACTGGTGGGCTAGAACCACCTATGTTGCAGTTGGCAGCCTAATGCCTGACCTACAGCACTACTACCAAAGCTACTGCCATAGAATTGGTTTTGACTTACAGCAACCCCAGCACTGGAAAGCCTCATCTTTCTCCCATGAGGCTGCTTGTGGGTTTGAATTGCCAATTTACAATTATGTAGTTAGCAGCCCAGGGCTTATTTCACAGTGCAACCAGGGCCTTTGCAAAAATCAAAGTAAGATGTCAATTATTAGTTTTCCTATTCAAGTGTTACCCCATCTCTATGGTAGAGTGCTTTTTTCTACACCTGCTCCACAAGATATAATAACAACTGTGGGCATTTTTTTTTTTTCCTTCCTAAAACAATCTTATTATTTTCTGTATTTTTTTGTTCTCTTAGATATTTTTAGCTCTTCAGCTCTCTGATATATTTTTTGTTTTTGTTTTTGTTCTTTTCTTTTAACTTTTAATTGTGAATTGAATGATGGTTTATAGTATAACATCATTTTTTGTATTTAAAAATTGTATATTTTATTTCATTTCAATGATTATAATCCCTTCATTATAACATAATTTATCCTTCTTCTTCCTTGTAACTATTGTTTCGATTATTGCTTCTTTCCCAACTTTTCTGAATTTTGTCTTCAGGTAAATGCTGCCCTTTTGTTTCCTAATAGTTCACTGGTTTTATGGTATGGTGTGTGTATACCTCACTAGTGTTGTTGCCCACATACACACACCCCACCCCACCCCACCCACCGCTATATACCTAAATGCTTCTTGGTTGAAAATTGAACCACAAGGGCAAGTTCAGTTCCATAACTCATCCTTCAAGCTTGGCTTAAAAATTTTTTTTTTAAATGATTTTGAATTTTATTCCACATTTTCTCCCACTCTGATAGATTTTTTTAAAACTATAATTTTATACTTTATTTACCTAGTTATTATTAGGTGAATTTTTGTTTTTACAAATGTTTACATCTAACATCCAATTCAGAAGATATCCCACCATATCCGTTGATACGTTTATTGTTTTCTTTCCCAGTTTATAGTAGTTCTTCAATTTTTCTCTATCAAAGGTCATAGCTCCTATCAGGCAGTCCTCCTACTACTAAAATTCTTGCCTGGCTCTTTTAAGTGAGTCCTCAAATACACACACATATTTCACTGGTTTTGCTTCTCTAGAAAATTCGGCCAGAGATCACATTGAACTGTACAATCAGTTTGAACTGTAAGGTTGGTAGTTCAAATGTACTAGTGACTCCTCAGAAACCCTACACTGGGTCACTTTGAGTCAGAACCAACTTGGCAACACTTTAACAACAACAGCATTATGACGAGAAAGTTGCTATAGTTAAATAATGATTGAAGTGGTGGCAATGGTCATGATATTTAGAAATGGAAATTTTGATGACTAGAACTTCCTGCCAATATACTTTGCTTGATCAACTCTTGCCTTTAACATGGAAAGCTGGTTTAGATTTGAGGGTCATTGTTCAGATCAAGTATTGGAACATTTCTGGTTGTATAAATGAGAGGTTAATGTGATACACATAAAGAATCAGTAGGGCGTTTTTCCTGTGTAGTTGTATTGGAGGAGGTAAGGAGAGGAAGATGGCATAATGAATTCCTAGACAAATTAAGGTTTACATCAATATTGCAGGAGTCCTGGTGTGGTGCTGTAGGATTAGAGATGGATTGCTAGTGGCAAGTTGTGGGTTCAGACCACAAGCCACTCATCTGAAACCCTACACAGGATTGTTATGAGATGGAACCTCTCAGGGAACCAAACAACAACATAAGGATTATAGCATGTACTATTGTAGCGTTGCATGATAATACACTGGACTGCAAGGACAATGGTTTAAACGCACCAACAGCCCCTCGGAAACCCTATATAGGGTCAGTATGAGTCAGAACCAACTTGATGGCACTTAACTACAAACAACAACTATGAAGTAACTAAATGTTTATTGGTTTAGCTTAGTGCGTGACCCACAGTAGGTACTCAAAAAAAAAAAAAAAAGTTAGATCCGGCAATGCTTGTTAAGTGCTATTGAATAATTTCCAACTCATAAAGACACCGCATAGGGTTTCTAAGCAACAACTGGTGGGTTTCAACCGCTAAACTTACAGTTAGCTGTCCAGTGTTTATCTTATAGTGCCACACCAGATCTGCCAGTATTAGCTGACATTTATTTAGTCCTTATCCTGTGTCAGGCACCATGTAAAGTGCTTGATACTATTATTAGTTCAATTTATAGGTAAGCAATCAGTATACAAGATGCATTTTTTTTTAAATGATTTATTGTGAATTATGTGATAGTTTACATGGGAGAACATTAGTTTTACATTTATTCTATCCGTATATTGTCTCATTGCCATGGTTACAATCCCCTCCATGCAATCCTTCCCCTGTGCCCCCCAGGTCTTCAGCACACAGTTGCTCTCCCTCTCTGGATCCAAAGTCTCCAGCTGCTCCATAGCTCCACATCATCATCTCTGGCTCCATTTCAGGCATCACTGCTTCTCTGGGTAGGGTCCCGCTCTCTGCTCTTTTTCCTTGATGGTCCTCGGGACCTCCGCTCCCAGACCAAAAAGTGAATCACTCCCCTCCTTGCTATAAAACGTACACCTTTACACTTCCAACCCTCACAGTCAGTTCTGATAACAATCATTCATCAAAGTATCACAAGAGACCCGTCTGCATTTCATTGCATCAGCCCCGCCTAGTCAGATTGAACACTACTCACTGGAGATTCTACCTTCCTCCAGGCCCTCTGGGTCTAGGTTCCCTTTTAAAAGCTTGTAAGCCAGTCACTTCTTGCCTTTGTAGTCCCCAACCCCCCATTTTGGGTAGCCAATGTCCAAGTAAGATGCATTTGTTTTTAAAAAATATATACTTTATTGCGATTTTGGAGAAAATTGACAAAGCAAACTAGGTTCTCATTTAACAATTTCTATGCATATTTTTGTTGCTATGAGTTGGAACTGACTCCATGGCACATAACCACCACCACCATGCATATTACTCAGTGACATTGATTACAGTTTCACGATGTGTCAGCATTTACTTTGTTTTCTTTCTGGTTGTTGTTTCCATTAATCTACCTTCTGTATCCTCCCTTACCTTTCCTTTGTTAAACATTGCACTGTAAATCATCTGAGTGGATGTGAATCATTTGTTTACTATTATGGCCTTTGCCAATGGTCTTCCTCATCTGGATCTCTCCAAAGCATCTCTCTAAAACACAATAGAATTTGGAGTCCTAGTTCCCCTAAAACACTCTGTGAATCTTTGGATTCCTTTATTCTCCTTTGTTCCAGACCCTTAGAGGCCAATAGTTGTGTCTTAGATGGCTTCAGACACTGCTGACTAAACAAGGATGTAAAACATATCTTTATAAGCTGTGTTATGCCAATTGGCAAGATGCATTTATATCGTATTCAAGAATGCAATATAGAATTAACAGAGGTGTAGGTTGTGTCCTTTAAAGATTTTCACAGTTCTAACTTACAGGAAAAAATCTTACTGAAGTTCAGAATTGACGACATAGAACTGTCCAGATTTTTGTTTGCATGCATGTACTTTAAAAGTTTATTAGTATTTGCAGATTTCTGCAGAATTAATCTTTCTGACCTGTCAAGTGACATGAGCAGATTTTATTAATGTCTTTTATTCTTTCACTTTTTTCTTTCCATTTTGTCCTTGTTTGATTCTTTTAAATCTTACACTTTCTTCTTTCCTTCACTCACTCACACTCACTCACTCACTCAATGATTCACTCACTCATTCAAGCAAGCAAGCATGACCAGGTATTTAATTTGAAAACGTCATTCAAAATGGTGCCACGTCATCTGCCGGGGCCAAGAACCAAGAGGTGTTGTCACATTTCTCCCTGCCAGCGTGGATCTCCGCGGAGTTCCTCCCTCTCCTCCTCACCTGCACCCTGGGAGCCTGAGCCGAGGGCGGGCGCTGTCACACACTTAGGCCTCGGGTCTCCTCCCTCTGGCCCCAGGATCTCCCCGCCCTTCTCGAATCCCGGCTGGCAGAGCGCAGTTATTTGCATATTTCTACCTTTGTTCCCTGCTGGCGACCAATCAGAATTCGGTTGGGGGTAGCGGGGTTGGGCGGGGTTGGGGCTTGCGCTCCGGTTTGGGCAGTGGTGGCCGCAGGTTCTTGAGCGGGTCTGAGGCGCCGCGGGCGTGCAGCGCAGTGTAGCTCCAGCCATCACGACCTGCCCTGCGCTCCCGTCAACACTGCTGCCTCGCCTGGGCCAGGCCCCAAAAGCAAAGACAAAGCGACTGCTTGCGAAGCTCCGTAGGAGCTGAATTTACCTGCTTCTGCCGGGAACTACAGGCACCAAGATGGTTTGCGGGGGCTTCGCGTGTTCCAAGAACTGCTTGTGCGCTCTCAATCTGTTGTACACGGTGAGTATCCCGAACTCGTTGCCTCCCCGCCTCGTGGCTTTGCACCTGCTGGGAAGCCCCTGGCCTTCCCCTCCCTTTACCCAGTGCCCCTCTCCGGTCTTCCCCCACTGAGCGCGCCCCCAACCTCTCCGTGACCCCCCTGGAACCCGGAGCCGGCGCTTGTCGCAGTCTCTTCCTTCCCTCATTGTGCAGCCGCCTTCTCTCTGGTGGCCACTGTGGCTCTGCCACATTGCTCCGCCCCGCTCCCTCACCCACCGCCTTGTTTTTCAGTCTATGCTTCGCGGCCCCCTCTGCTGCTCGGACCTCGCTTCCAAACCGGTTTTTGGGCTTATGGGGACAGGAGCGCTGCCTCGGGCAGAATAGCGCCATCTGAAAAGGAGACATATGGATCTTGTGCGCCTGGGTTAGCTGTACGTGCTCTCGTGATTTAAATTGAGGCCACTGAGTAGATTCTCAGGATTTCCGCTGCTTCCTTGGTTTGTTTCGTGCTTACATAAAAGGATGTTTTATATTTTGTTTGGTCAGTCCTGCTCCTACTTGATGCTTTCTCCATGTGGGTCCATTCCCTCCTTGTCAATATCTTAACTCTTTCAAAACTATGTCTCATAAATATGTGTGCCTCCACCCAAGTCATTTCTTCCCCTCCCAGTCTACTTGCCTCTCAATTTAACGCCGCAGGCTGTCTGTCATTTTTAAGGTGCAGTTCTGGGTGAACAGGAGCAGAGGGCAGGGTTGGTTGACATTCTCTGTTTTTCACATCCCAGATTTTACATACATGATTTGAGTTCGTCTTTCTGACAACCTTCTGAGAAAAGAAAGAAGCATGGTGTACATTTTATATGTAAGGAAACCCAATCAAAAAGGATTTAAATAAGCTTACACACTGGACTGCAAACCACAAGTTCGGCAGTTCAAATCCACCAACTGCTCTTCTGAGACTCTAAGCAGAGTTGCTATGAGTGGGAACCGACTCTATGGCACTAAACAATAACACATAGCTGGTAGCTGGCAAGTCAGGAGTGGAACCCAGGCTTTGGAATCCAGATCTTTCCTAAGGCTATCTCTACCATCTGGAAGAACTTCCTCTCCAACCATCATAGCTTGTTCTCTTCTATAAATACACCTGGCCTATTGCAGCACCCACCCTGAAAACAAATGAAGTTCCCCTGCATTAACAGAGAGCTAGGCCATCTGTGCAAGCTTAGGTTACATCCTTGGAATAGACAGCCTTGCTTGTGTTCAACAGGAGAGACAGACTGGATCATTTTACCATCACTTCCTTTGTATGAGAACCTGCTGCTTGCAAAGCTTTGAAAGCAAGGCAGAAAGTGGAATTGGGTTTGGTTTTCCAGCTAGTTTGTAGGAATTTACTCAACATGGTCACATAGTAAACTTGGTAAACAAATTCTAGAACACCTGGTGATACTTTGTAATTGGAGCTCCCCATCAGTTTCAGATTCAAATTCACCTTTGTCTTACTTGAGGCACGTTTATCACATTGATTATCACATTGAATCGATGAGTGTACTAATTAGAACTTCACATTCCCCATGTTTGTGCCCTGACTTTTGCGCCACCTCTCCCCCTTTTTGGTGAGTTAGTCATTCCTTTACTAGACACTTTCACAGTGTCTGCTTACACACAGTAGAATGTTCTGCTTTGTAGCCTTATGTTACTAAAATATCTATATAGCTCAGTGTGCAATATATCTCTCTATATATCTATATATATATAGAGAGAGAGAGAGAGAGAGGGAGAGAGAGAGAGAGAGAGGGAGAGAGAGCAAGCGAGCTCTGGTAGCGTAGTGGTTACAAATCAGGCTGCTAACCTGAAGGTCGGCAGTTCAAAACTACCAGCTGTTCCGCTGGAGAAAGATGATGTGTTCTGCTCCCATAAAGATTTACAGCCTCGGAAACCCTGTGCAGGGTCACTATGTGTCAGAACCGACTCCATGGTACTTAACAACAACATTATATATATATATATATAATTTAAAGGCAAGTTATTTTTAAATCTACTTCTATTGCTTTTAAGATATGTCGGTTATAGTTGTATTTACCATGTTTTAGGGAAGTCAGGAGACGGAAAGGTGATTCTAATGGGACATATTAGGAATATTTTAAATTATTGACCTTTAATCATTCAGTGAAACAATTTATTTGAGATTCATGAGACTATACAAAATGGTTAGCCCTTTTAAATCCTAGACTTTAAAGACACTATTCTAAAATGAATGAGTGGCTATTTGCTGCTTATACAAGGAGTCCTCGTGGCACTATAGGTTAGGCATTGGGCTGCTAAGAACAAGTGGTTCAAATCCACCAGCTGCTCCTCAAAAGAAAGATGAGGCTGTTTGCTACAGTTGATTCACAATCTTGAAAACCCTATATAGAGTCAGAATCTACTGCATGGCAGTGGGTTGGTTTTTGAGCTTTTTATACATTATTGTTGTTGTTATGTGCCGTGGAGTCGGTTCCGACTCATAGCAACTCTGCATAGGGTTTCCAAGGCTGTAAATGATTATGGGAGTAGAAAGCCTCGTCTTTCTCCAGCGGAACAGCTGGTAGTTTCGAACTGCTGATCGTGAGATTAGCAGCCCGATTCGTAACCAATGTGCTACCAGAGCTCCTCTTTATATATTTTGTTGTTGTTGTTGTTGTTAAGTGCCATCGAATCGATTCCAACCCATAGCGACCTTGTATAGGGTTTCCAAGGAACAGCTGATGAGCTTGAACTGCCGACCTTGCAGTTCAAATGGCTTTGCAGTCTGGTGCATTAACCCACAGTGCCACATCAGGACTCCTTATACATTATTGTTGTTGTTGTTGTTGAGTGCCATGGAGTTGGTTCCGACTCATAGTGAACCTGCACAGGGTTTCTGAGACTGTAAATCTTTACGAGAGCAGAAAGCCTCATCTTTCTCCCGCGGAACGGCTGGTAGGTTTGAAGTGACCTGAGGTTGGCAGCCCAACTCGTAACTTCTACTCTACCAGAACTCCATCCTTATAAATTATAAGTAGGCTTAAATAAGAATAGTCTATCAGTTGGAGACAAATGACAGAAAAATTTAGGTCAGGTCTTAAATAGATGCTGAAAATATACTCTGATCATTATTTAGATTCTGTATCTTCCGTAGTCACTTCTTCCAAGTTTTAATGTGGGAATTGTAAAGAGGTAGTAGAAGGCAGAACCAAGGTGCAGGCTTAGGTGAGATTTCTTTTGTGGTATGTATGAACAGGAGGATTCTTTGTAGATGTCAACACAACCCTTGTCACTGCTCTGAAGTGTGTTCTGCCTTCATTTCTAAAAGTTTAAGTAAAATAAGGAATGCCTATGGAAGTGATAGGTATAAAGGTCACAACCTGTCCGAAAGATCATTACCATTCTGTTAAAGTATTTTTCTGAGAAATGTATGTTTTTACCAACTTGACTGTTGACAGTCAGGTGGCCTGCTAATGTATAGATTAGCAATGAGTTCATGATCCGTCCAGAGAGCATGCCATTAAAGCAGGTTGGAAGGAGTGTCACCCAATTTGTCATGGGTACGATCACAAGGTCAAAGGTTGCTGTGAAGTGCCATAATGTCGGTTCTACCTCATAGCAATTCTGTATAGGGTTTCTGAGTTGGTGGGTTTGAACTATCAACCTTGTAGTTAGCAGTCCAATGCTTATCCTGTAGCCTCACACCAAGACTTCAAATGTTAACAGTTGATTTCTTTGTTGTTTCATGTTTTGGTTATTTTAATTGATAGAGACTGTCGAACTGAAAAAAAAGAGCACTGGTAGTGTAGTAGGTTACAAGTTGGGGTGCTAACCTCAAGGTCAGCTGTTCAAATCCACCAGTTGCTCCTCAGGAAAAAAGATAAGGCTTTCTGCTCCTGTAAAGATTTACAGATTTGTAAATCCTATACAGAGTTGCTATGAGTTGAAACAGACTCCACCTAGAATGGAACAATCTTAATTTAGTGTATACAAACAATTGTAGTATGAGAGAGAAGGGTAAAACTACAGATTCTTTGTCCATCTTTATGTTGTAAGTGTTGTAAGGAAGTAATTTGTGCAAGACATCTACATTGGAAGATTATTTGATTGCCCAGTTGCAAATATTCATGATACTGTGAATATCAAAGTATTGTAGTGAAACAAAGATGGCTTTATAATCAACGTGCCTTTATGAAGGCTTTAAAAATTTAAAAAAAAAAAAAAAAAGTATGACCTATTCTACATATCTCATGAGTGTCATTTAGTCAATTAGCATTTGCGTACTGTATGCACTGTGCTGAGAACTTCAGGGGGAAAAAACCCACTCATCGTCAAGTAGACATCTTGTGAAGACTGTGTTTACTTGGGAGAAGAGGCAGGCAAGTTAAATGCTATATAAGGAAAGACTGACAGTATGTGCAATGAAGGTTTAGGACCTGGGGGGAGGTATTTGTGGGCTATAAAAGTTGATGTAATGGAAGAGAAGTGAGTGAATTAAGGAGATAGAGAAATAACATGGTTCTTTTTTTTACTTTTCAAGAATAAAAAAATTATTAAATTCAGTACAGAAAAGATATAAATTATAAAGATCCCAGATAAAAGTTTCTTATCTTTGGCCTCTTTGTTGTTGTTGAGTTGGTTCTAACTCGTGGCAACCCTGTCTAGGATTTCCAAGGAGCAGCTGGTGGGTTTGAACCAATGACTTTGTGGTTCAAACAGACCTTGGGGTACTTATTGAGGTCCTTTAGGTAATTAATTATTAAAACAGCTTGTTGGTAAAAAGATACTGGTAAACTATTTAGTAGGTATCATTTCCTCAGCAAGTTTTGTCATCTCTTGAAAAAAACAATGTATTTACTAGGATTTTTCTGAGTTCCATTGATAAACACATGTATTTTCACACATAGGGGACTTCAAAAATTTCATTATCTTTTGCTTCCCTTTTTCCATGAACTTTTTGAAACCATCCCCACATGCATTTGAGGGAAGCCTTAAAAGGAAAATTTTCTATGACTTTT